ATATGAGAATGTGAGGAGTACATTTTTATTTGATAATTTAGAATTAAATAATAAATAAAATGACAAGATTTAGAATTAAATAATAAATAAATAACAAGATTTAGAATTAAATAATAAATAAATAAATAACAAGATGAAAGATGTAAACATTTTGAAACTTTTATAACAACAATGATGTTGTAAAGAAGAAGAAGAAGAAGAAGAAGAAGAGCAGAAATGAATGATGAAAAGAGGAAGATTTTTCCATCTTGGCGCTAAAGATATGAAAAAGTGATCGATAAATTTAATTGTCATCTATTTATGTTTGACAATAGAAAGTTAGAAGATATTTAAGGGAAGAATTTATTAATAATATTAATTAATTAGCAAAATAAAAACAAACAAACAAACAAACAAATCACAAATTATTAAATCTATCAAATAAATACAAAATCAAATTTATTTTTTTTTTTTGGTGAATAGCAAATGCCCTTTTTTTTTTTTTTGTTGGTTAGGTGGTTGGAATGAGGAGGAAGGTTTTGTGATTGAACAATGGAATCTAAATGGTCACAAAATGGTGTGACATGCAAATGAGGAATAAACCACTTTTGTGTTTTCCTTTTTTTTTTTTTTTTTTTTTTTTTGTTAGTAAACAAATTTAACAATAAAAGAAAGTTACCGCGTTAATTTTTTTTTTTTTTTTTTTTCATTTCAATAGTATTACTTGTTACTATTTATTTCTAGGTTATGTTAGGCCTTTTTTTTTTTCGTTATTAAATTAGAATAATTTCATTTTTGAATAAAAAAATAAATAATAATAACAAATAACATTTTACATTTTTATACTCATTTCCTGAGGAAAACAATGAGTAGCAAAAAAGATTATAAAGTTTAAAATTGATAGCAAAATGCATTTGGATATTAATTTTTACTACTCTATTTTTGAGTGAATTGGTAAAGAAAATTGAGGATTAAATTTTTTTGACAAATAAAATTAGTAAATAATTTACAATAAACAAAAAGAAAATGAGATCAAATAATTTTTTTTTTTTAAATTTTAACCCTTTTTTTTAAAAAAATTTTAATTTAATTTTTAGCACAAAAAACAAAATATGTAAATATTCAGAAATAACATAAAATAAGAGAGAAAAAGAGAGAGGAATAAATCGTTGACAAGGAAGCGAAGAAAACGAATTATAAATTGATGATCCTTGGTCGAGCTGTCCACTACGACGACATGTGCAGCAGAGAGAGAGAGAGAGAGAGAGAGAGAGAGAGAGAGAGAGAGGGACAGGGAGAGATAGAGAGATGAGTCATGCGACAGGAGGATGTCATCTGAACGATAAGGTTAGCTTAAGGTGATGTACCGGACGAGGAAGGAGGATAGTTGTCTAGACACAACTGTCGCCGCTCTTGGTCATCATCCTCTGGTCAGTGACTATTGCTTAATTATGACAAATGACCATTAACATTTAGCTTTTTTTTTTTTCCTTTCTTTTTTTTTTGCAAAGTTTTATGACTTTAAAATGACCGCCATTTTTTGTGTAAACTTTTCGAAGAAATCCCAAAGAGAATAATGCAGAATTTATTCGATTAAAAAACATAAAAAACAACATTTAGAGAAAATTTTGGAGAGATTTTATAAGATTACTTGCAATTAAATTTTATTTTGAGAGAGAGAGAGAAAAAAATAAGAAAAACAAATGGAATTTAAAAAATAAAAATAGCAGTTAATAATTTCAAATTTTAAGGAAATTTTAACTTAAATTTTTTTTTTTTTTTTTACTACCTATAACAAAATTTTCATTTTTCTAATGGATAAATAAATTCTGAAATTATTAAGAAATTATTAAAATCTTTTTCAATATTACAAGTTTTGAGAGAGAGAGAGAGAGAGAGAGAGATGAAAGAGTAGTTTAAAGTGATTTTAACAATTGTTATCCATTTGAATGATATATAACAAATGCATAATCTATAACATTTAATGAAATTACATCAAAAATGATTAATAACTCTTCTCAATTTCTTCATTGTAAATTTTCTTAAGTAAATATATTACTTATATAATGTCTACTACTACTACTACTACATAAAATGCATATTTATTCAATTCAATTCAAAATTTTTGTTGATAATACTTTCTTATGAGCGTAAAAAAGAGTGAAGCAGAAATGAAATAAGTAGGATAACAAATAAGTTATATATTAATAATAAATATAATAAAATAAATAAGTAGTAATAAATAAGTTATATATTAATAAAAAATATAATAAAATAAGTAAGTAATAAGAAATAAGTTATATATTAATAAAAAATATAATAAAATAAGTAAGTAATAAGAAATAAGTTATATATTAATAATAAATATAATAAAATAAATAAGTAATAAGAAATAAGTTATATATTAATAAAAAATATAATAAAATAAATAAGTAATAAGAAATAAGTTATATATTAATAAAAATATAATAAAATAAATAAGTAATAAGAAATAAGTTATATATTAATAATAAATATAATAAAATAAATAAGTAATAAGAAATAAGTTATATATTAATAATAAATATAATAAAATAAATAAGTAATAAGAAATAAGTTATATATTAATAATAAATATAATAAAATAAATAAGTAATAAGAAATAAGTTATATATTAATAATAAATATAATAAAATAAATAAGTAATAAGAAATAAGTTATATATTAATAAAAAATATAATAAAATAAATAAGTAATAAGAAATAAGTTATATATTAATAATAAATATAATAAAATAAATAAGTAATAAGAAATGAGTTATATATTAATAATAAATATAATTAAATAAATAAATAATATACCAGTTGTTAAAGTTGTACAAAAATAAATAAATTATATGACATACATATATATATATATGTATGTCATTAGATGAAAATTTCTTTATTGATTATTATTATTCTAATCATTTATTTTAATATATTTGAAATTATTCATTTAAATTCTTACTAAAGATTTCAATAATTGTTCATAAATTCTTATTAAATAGATATAAGTGTGTATGATGATGAATTGATGATAAGTGAATTAAATGAATGAAAAAAAATCAAATAATACATTAAAAAAATTTTTTTTTTCTTTTTTATATTCATTCGTAAATTTTGACATAAGTATCTTCTTGACATATTACTATTATTTAAAATTATCATTTTGTTGAGAAATTTTCAAATAAAATGTAGTACTGAGGAGAGAGAGAGAGAGAGAGAGAAAGAAAGAAAGAAAGAAGGAGGAAAATGAGATTATTCAATTTTTTTTTATAATTTGTTAACTTCTTGATCATCACTCTTAGCAAAAAAAAAAAAAAAAAAAGTGAAATAATTCGACGAAAATTTCATCTAAGATCAAATTACCAAAAATTTTCACAACTTATTCTCGCTGTCTCCTTTTTATGCTATTCTACACTATGATCTATCTGTGCAATCTTTCTTCAACATTTTCAATATGTCACCAAGATAGATCAAGTTATCTGATCAGATCAATTATTCAATTTAAAAAATTTATCATTTCATGATAGTTTAATCATTCTCAAACTTACCAGTAAATAAATTCCCAACTAAATGACTCAAATCTATCAATAATTTCCTGTCATTTGGAAATTTTTTCCTACATATTTTTACTTGCTGTCTAGTTAGTATTGTATTTACAGATTTATTAGTATTACCTTAAGCTACTACTCAAAGGATCTAAAATTCAATTCATCTCGTTAAGAGATAATTTTTAAAAGTTGATCAACTAGTAATAGCTGAGATATGCAAGCAATATTAAATTAACAATTTCAAATTGAAAATTTTACCACATCATGTTCTTAATCTATTAAACAATTTAAATCTATCATAATTTCCTGTCATTTTTACATCACATTTTTTTATTTGTTGTCTTAAGTATAGTGTTAATCAGGAAAACAAATAGTGTACTTTTTACAGATTACAATTTTATTGTCCATATTGTTCATACAAGGCTTACAGGAGAAGAAAAATAAATACAAGAAAATGCGCAATATTTCTTTGAAAAAAAAAAAAAAAAAAGCAATTAAATAAAACTTTTTTTTTAAAACAAACTTCAAATACAATAGAAACAAACGAAAAGAATGCTTTTCCTAAATCAGTTAAAGAATTATTTCAAAAACGAAACTGAATAAACTTGAATTAGAGATAGCTTTAACTCTTTATTGCCATCTTTAAATGTAAAAAATATATATATATATTAAATTTTTAAAGCAATTATATATTCTTTATTTTCACTTCATACACATAGAAAAACAAAAGGAAAATTAAAAAAAAAAAACATTGATTTTATTCAGGACTACTGTCTAAAATTGTTTTAAAATATATATATATGATTCACACTACCATTCTGTTTCGCTCGCGAGCAATTTTTATTTCAATAGCAGAAAAGAAAAGAGAAATAAATTGAAAAGCAAAGATAAAAAGAATAAGAAATAAATATATAAAAAATTAATGATAGGATACAAAGGAAGTACCCGTAAAATATCACCATGAGATATAGCGAGCTCTTTCTGCAGATTGAATCTCGAATAATCTGGAAATTTCCTCTAGCATTTTACATTCTTCCCAAATTCATTAGATGTAACCTATCATACAAACTAAATGAATTAATATTAGCATTACTGGAAGCTATTAGCATTAAAAAAAAAGAGAAGAAAAGTACATATACATCAAATGCAGCAGCAATTTAAATTAAAATTTTACACACACACACACAAAAAAAAAAAAAAAAAAAAAAAAAAAACAATACAGCATACAAGATGTTTTTTCTTTTTAAATTTTAAAGATCAATGCCAATTTTTAAATGATTGAAGAAAATTACCGTTCAAGGACAAAAATATTGTCCAAAAATTCCTAGAAATTTTCAGAATTTTTAAGAAATCATTTAAATTTAAACTTTAAATTAAAACATTTTTTTAAAGTTGAAGTATATGAACAAATTTTATTTGAAACATCAGAGAATAAATTTTACTCTTATTAGGAAGACCGAGAAATAACGCGGTTTACATCCATCTGCTGTAATTGCGTTTGCAGGAAATCGATTCGACTATCTTTCCAATGAATTTCATAACGTAAACTTTCTATGTCTTGCTGAAAAAGAATTAAATATACTGTCAATTCGATCAGAAATTTTAACAAAATATAAAAGCTGAATTCATTCATAATAAGATAATTTAATTTTTGCACAAAATCATCAACTTTTCTTTTTTTTTTTTTTTTTTTTTTTAAAAAAAACAATGGAAAAAAGATAAAAACATGTATTTGTAACTATCAATCTTTTATTAGAAGAAATTAAATGAATAAAGACGGAATAGAAAACATATTACTAAAGTGATTTACATGCAAATATAAGTAACTAAACTCAAAAATGAAAGCAAAGTAAAATATTTATGGAAACAAAGATAAATAAATAAATAAACAATTGACAGGAAATAAAAATAAGTAAATTAGGAAATTTTGACGACTAATTCATATCAACTATTAACGTCTTATCCAGTTCTCATCTCACAGCCATCATTTTCTAAAAATTTCTGATCCAACAAAAGTGGTATGTAGAATAAACCAAGATGATTTTAAATTATTTTCCACAGAAAAGATGAATGACAAGACAGAATGGAAGAAAAGAATATATAAATTACAGAAATAAGGACAAGGAAATTTCACGAAATTTAAAAATCTATTGAGAGCTTGGGATATCGCAATACCATCATCTATTAGTTGAAAGGGGTAATGGCATAATCAATTTTTCATAATGGATTAGAAATAGGTCACATTTAAAGAAAATCCTAGAAAAACAGGATTAAGAAGTGACTGAAGGTAATGCTTGGAATTTCTTTTTCGACTATTATTTCCATTAGTTACAGAATAAATTTTCGGTATGTTTCTTAACATCTCGGGAACAAGAAGATTAAATTTAATGATTTAATAGGTGATTCTTTAAAAAAAAATGATATGTTAGAAATTATTGGGTATTACTAGATCTGTTATTATTCTATCACTAATAATGAATTCGAAAAATATCACTGATAATGAATTCGATTTGGAAAAAAAACTGAAGTCGAAAACCTATGTATGAATTTGCAGATACTCTAACCTGTTGTAGACGAACAATTTTTTCCAACTGTTCGCATCTATTTCGACATTTCCATAATTCACGTTCCATTTCTTTTAAAACACTCACCATTGCTTCTTCCGAGAAACAACTACGACTGCTAGAATGATTTGTAAGTTTGGTTAAGTAATTTTTAGCATTTGATAACATCACACTTCCCATTGATCTACCTGTTCAAGCTACTGCTAATTCTTATACAAGTACAGTCAGTTCGATCCTTTTTGCAAATAAATTAAGATGAAATAATAACTAATGTCCAAACACGATAATTTTACAAACTTAAAACTAAACGAAGATTCCAAGCACATACCTGTCATTATCTTCACTCTGCTCTTGTTCCTCCAATTTATCACTCCCATTACTTAATTTTTGAACCATCATGGGTTTATGTTGCTGTGTTCGTTTCATTAGCAATCCATCATATCGACTAGCGAAACGGCTTTCTACAGAAACACTTGGTGCTGAACCTGCCTTCGATGGAATATCTTTACCTGATTCTAAAAAAAAGAAACACCAAGTTACATAAGATACTAAAGAACACTGATTACTTAACACAACCAGAAATTTCAGGTTTAAGACAGAAGCTTTGGATATCAAAAATTTGAATAAGAAATGACAATATTAATCGTGCTTGAGCCTATGATGCTAACGAACTGCGGTATTTGTATATATGCTAACATTTCGATATGAAATGAAAGAAATTTGACTCTAATATATGTCACAGCTAAAAATACACAAATTTAATAGTTTAACTAACCGATTGAAAATAATGACGTACTTCGATCGACAATGCTAGCAATTCGTGGATTGGATAACGAATTTTTATGATTTAGTGCAATAACATCGGTAGCAGCAACAGCAGCAGCGGTAGCAGTAGCAATTGGAGTATTCTTCTCGCTGACTGAAGATGAAAATGAAACAGGCGTATTTCCATTCTCATTATTTTTCTTTCCAATATATATGCCATTTGCCTCAGTCACTTTTCTTCAAAAAAAGTGAAGTACAGAAATAAAAATCAAGGTTATAAAGATAATATGTAGAAATATTAAAAAGATAATATTTTATAAACAAAAACATGAAGAGAAATGTTGATTAAGAATATTTGAAACAAATTAACAAACTTAACATAACATAAATATTGTATTGAATGTTAATGATCAAAAAATATATGATAACTCAAATAATAATTTAATAAACAACTTAAATATATAATAAGTTAATAAATAACTTAAATAACAACATACTCATTCGCATGTTGTTCCTTACTAATCTCAGCTGCGGATTCAGCAGCCAATTTTGCCTTAATTCTTTCAATCTTCAACAGCTCTTCACGATCTTCACGATCCGTTATTTCACGATAGTCAGGTTTCGTTACCTAATAACATTGAATAACTAAATGAAAAATAATAATTCTAAACATTAGAACTTACAAAAAAAAAAAAAAGCCGAAACATTTTAATTAAACTAAAAAAAAAATGCTAGATATAGGGAAAATGGCAATGTTCAAAAAAGAATTTTATTAAATTTTCAGCAAATTGTTTCACTTTCTTTGAAAAAAAAAAAAGAAAAAAACAGTATTACAATGCTTGCAATAAAATTTTCGGATACATATTACAAAAAAAAAATTTCTAATTTTAACACCTGACAGGTTAATAAACACAAGTCTATCAAATGTAGAAAAATAAACATTCCAATATTGAATGTGTTACCTGAGATAAAAATCGAAATTTACGATCATTATTGACATCAGCAATCATTAGTTTTGTTCGATTACTCTCTTTGGCGAATGTTACTGGTTTATTTGTACAGTTCAGTAAACAATCTTTCAGTTCGAGCATGATCGGTTCACGATTTAAACCGGCTAACCATTCACGAAATAACAGTGATGGAGTTGGCGAGCGTGTTGCAGGATACAGATCGGCTTGAAATCCGTCAGCCTAAAAAAAAAAAATCACTTTGACTAAAACATAAAAGATTCCTTCCCAAATTTCCATAATGAGAAAATTTCAGTTCTGTATGAAATAAATTTACAATAATTAAGATAGCAACAATAACAGCAATTATGAAATCAGCTTCAGATCAACCGCTAGAAATTAAGCATCAGGACAATCTAAGAGAATGAACAGTGGAACTGTTTGATTTTTACAATATTTTGAAAGTAAATTGATATTTCCAAAGATATTTTCCGACTGCACTTAATTGTAGCCCAAAAAAAAAAAATCAAACTAAAGAAAACTAATTCAAAACTAAAAAGAAAACACAAACGCAAAAAACTATTCTTTTCGAGATACTAAACAAATTCAAAAAAATGATATTTTGTCGACACTAGTGAGAGTATAGTAAATATCTCCTTTATGTCCCATCTTGTTCAGTTTTGAGTACTTCAAAATTCATTTGTAAATAAATCCAAAAACATTTGGAGTTAGCAAACAAGAAGGAATGCATAAAATCGAAAATCGAAGTCATAAAGAAATGAAAAAAAAAAAAAAAAAGAGAGAAAGTTAGTTCAATTTAATCACCATATTTTGTAAGTTTTGGTTTTCTTAAAAGATAAAAAACAATCTTCTCCGAATTCAGAACTTACTCTTCTCGGAACGAAGAATGATAGTGGTTCAATAACCAGCTGTTCAGCATCTACTCGAAATATCCTCATTATTTCGCATTGCAGTACGTTGAGACCACGTTTAGGAAGCAGACATACTGCTGTATGCGCTTTAGAGCCAGAAGATTCATTCAGATAGGATATAAACGGTGCTTCTTTTAAAAGTTCATAAAATCGAATATTGGCATCACCCTAAAAAATACCAAAATATTGATAAAATTGAATGTCAAAATTTACTAATTAGAAAGTTCAATAAAACACAAGACAAAATGATATGCATTCATTTGAAAGTCGAAAGTTTAAATGTACCTTTCCAGCAATATACAACAAATTGAGATCATTATCAATCATAGGCATGAGAACACCAGATCCACCATCGATATCAACAACAGCTAACGGTGCATCTAAAGGCTGAGAGCTATAGATAGCTATTTGTCGTCGGGTACACCGTGAACTACCAGTTGTTATAAGACGTTCGCTGTTGTTCGCTTCCGGTATTCCGAAGAATAAAACTCGTGAAAGCATAGCGCCATCATGAATAAGCTGCGTGCTACGCTGTTTTTCACCCGTACGTGCATCATAAATTGATAACTCACGCAATTTTGTTGTCACCGCAAATTCAGAACAATCGTAACTGAAATTAATATGCCTAGATTTATTGCCATAATTTCAGGACTAATTTGTCTGCCATTCAAATATGCAAAATCTTTGCTCCAAAAGCTGTAAAAGGAAAAATAAATGACCTTAAGCTCAGTGAAACGGCATTGCAATCTTCTATTCTATATACAATTTCATCTGTTTCGATATTCCATAACACTATTCGGCCATCTAATGAAGCCGAAAAAACAGCATTATCAACTGTTGTGTGCCATTCAATTGCATGAATACGCCGAGAATGGGCTCTGGATATTCGTAAACATCTATAATTTGATGAAAATTAAGTAATTTAAATGGTGCAACTAAATTCCATTCTCGATAGTCAAAAAAGTAAGCTTCATCTCTAGTATTGAGTATCAAGCTGTGTATTTTTATAGATTCAATTTGTAGCAAGTTAATGAAATTTTAAATTTATTTTGCTAAGCACAGCACTGCCATATGTCTATAATTTCGAATGAATAACAGCGAAGTATTAATGAGCTTTCTAACGCTAAAAACACCGAAATCCAAATGTATCCTATGATAGTTCCTGTAATCAAATGCAATGTTTGTACTATAAATCATATAAATTTTCGTTTTTTCCTATTCTTCTTAAATTTTAAATTAAAATTCGGTGTTAGTTCGCAAATTTTAAAGGAAGAGGAAATGATAACCGAATTCTAAGCATATCATCAATATGCCATATTCGAACTGTAGCATCATGAGATCCGGTAGCTAAAACGTTATCATTAAAAGGGTTCCATTTTACATCACACACGGCACCCTGAAACAAAAAATAATTATAAATCTTAACAATAAACACTAATTAAATACTCGTCATTAATTACTAATGAAACATTCCAAACAATAAAATAGATTTAGAAAGAAAACAAAAGCTAAGTGACAAGCATACTTCATGATCCTTAATTTTGCCTAATTCCATTCGTCCCCGACCCATACGACATAATTTGGCAACTTGAACAACACCACCAGCAGGAACATCGATAGCTAGTGCAATCATTTTCGGGTTCGCGGCTACCGCTAGTCCGTGTCCTGGTCCCGTATCGTACCATTCACTACGTCGTACACTTTTGGAATACACGTGACGAAACCGTGAATATTTCAGCTTCGATAAAGCTTCTGAAATTTATTGCATTTGCTTTTTCATAAGGATATATTTTCCATTGAAGAAACGATAATCCCTTTTCGTTTCACTTCATTACAACTTTTCTTCTTCAAAAAATTCTCCAACAGCTGATAAAGTTTCTAAAAGATATTCGTCATGACGTGAAAACATATCTTAGTAAACCTATGTGAGGATGAGATTAAATTAAAAATCTTTTGCTAATTTATCACAATCATCTAAATATTTGAAAAACTTTCGTTAAAACAAATGGAAAAAGAGGAAATAATGCAACATTCTGAATATTTAAATGATTATATAAGTGAATGTGATAAAAACAAAATTCAATTGAAGAGATAATTCCAACCAATAACATAAATAAAGTTTGTAAAAAATATGTAATAAAGTAATAGATATTGTGAACTTAGCTTTTTAAATTGCAATCATTTATACATAGTAAAGTGTCAAAGTGAGAAATGAATTATTTAAACAGTATACTATAACCAACAAAAATTTAGATCCAAATTATCGAAGGACAACAAAATGATTGATAAGAATTAGGAAATGGATGAAGTGCAGAGTTACTGTTAAGGAAAAAAAATATGTTATTATTAATTATTTTTAGTACTTAACAATATCACATTAAAAATAAGCAGTTTCCAAAAGTTAAACTGTAATTTAATTTATCAATCAATCAATCAATCAATCAGTAGGTCAGTCAGTCAGTCAGTCAATCAATCAATCAATCAATCAGTAAGATCCATGCAATTAATATAATTATGTTCCTTCTTATTTGCTTGTTATGTAAAATCTTTATATAAATTTATACAATGAATTGTAGAAAGTGTAACAGAAAGCGTAATGAAACTTAAGAGTAATACTTACCGGACATTATTGTGGGAAATATTCCGTAAAAAATCTCACTAATTTAATTAGTTGAGATCACCCGTGGCGCAAATGTAAACAGTAAACATCACTGAAATAAAAGAAAATTATTGAATAATTATCGCTTTTAGGAATGAATTTATGAAATTATACGAGGAAATTTTTGCAATAAACACGCATAAAATGATAGTAAAATATAAATGTAATAAAAAGATACGTTAATAAGCTGTGAAAATTGCTAATTTTAACAATGATAATGATAATGATAAGAGCTGATAACGATGAATTCACCTCTACAAATGAATTAAATTAAACAAATGACAATTTTATATTTAATAATTTTTAAAAATGTTAAATGGTGGGAAATGATGTTTAAAAAATGGTAAATAGGCTAAAAAAAAATCAATCATCGCGCGCTAAATTAAAAAATGCGCCGAAAATTCGTAAAGTACAGCTCTCAAATTAAATTTTTTGGGAAAATTACTACTTTTATTTTAGTTGAAATTTGTATTCAAGGAAATATTTTAGTCTTTTTTTTTTACAAAATTTTTATTTAAAAAAAGAAAAAAAATGTTACAAATAAAAATTTAGACTGTATTTAGTCTGTAAAATTTAGTCTGTAAAAGTCTGTAAAATTTAGTCTGTAAAATTTTACAGACTTCTTCTTCTTCATCTAATTAATATTTTAAGTTAAATTTAAATCTTTCTCTAATCTGTATTTTAAATTGAATTTAAAGTTAAATCTCTCTCCGTCTCTCTCACCTAATCTCCTAAATCTTCTAATTCATACTCTAAATTCAAGTTAGAAAATTAAGAGAAGTTTTTTTTTATTTTTATCAAAATATATACATTATCATATCTTCATTTTCTTCAATTTTATTTTCACAAATAATTTAAATTTCCAGTTAACACATAGTAATATCAAGAAGAGAAAATAACTTTTCAATTAGATAATAATATCAAGAATTGGTTATTATAGAATTAAAAAAAGAAAAGAGAAAAAAGGAAAAAGATTGAAAAATTATAAGAAACCTACAATATCTAATATTCCATATGTTCATCTATTCACAATTTTCAAAACAAATCATTGAATAATAGCTATAGTAGCAGTGAGAATTTAAAAGAATTTCAAAAATGATAATTAAGAAAAAAAAAAAAACATTTAACAATTATTTTCATACAAAATTCATTCCAATTTCATTACAATTTTTAATTATCAAACTAATTAACATTCTATCATTAAATAGGAATGAAAAAAAAAAAAAGAAAAAAGGGAAAAAGTGATAAACTAGCAGAGAGAGAGAGAGAATATGTCATCGTCTAACCATAAAATGAGCAATTGAAAAAAAAAAAAAAAAAGAAAAAAAAGTTGAGAGAGAAGAATGTATTCTATCGATAAGAGCTGCCTCTTTCATTTTTATCGATACGTATCTATCAAACACTGCTCATTCAGTCCGGACATTTGCGCAGCTCATTCACTTCGAACTATTTGCGTAGCTCATTCAAGCTGAACATTTTGCGCAACACTTTTTTCGGATCGAATACACCTATAAATCTGGCTAATTCTTTCAGACTGAAACAAATAATAAATGAACAATGGAATGTTACCTGAAAAAGCTAATACTAATAGTTGAGTCATATGAAATATAAAAGTAATAAACAAAAAAAAAAAATAATTTAAATTGTATAAGTGATATATGTATACAAGATAAGGATGTAAATTGTACTAGCAATTATATAATTTACCTGTTTAGAATACATTGATAGATGATGACAAAATTCAGAAAATGAAGAAAGATAAGCTACAGAGAGAGAGGAACATAAATAAATTAAAGTTAAAATATTTAAATATGTGACAATTTCCAATCTTTTTTTTTTTTTCCTCGAATGCAAAAGGAATGAATGAAAATGACAAAATGATAAATGATGCATTCTACCACCTAATTTCCATTTGATCGGTATAATTTGCATTTCTAATTTTGATGAAATGCAAATTTCTTCGCATCAAAAAAAAAAAAAAAAATCTCAATTAGTAATGTTTGGTTTAAAAAAAAAAAAAAAAAAAATGGAAAAAATCCTATCGTTAAGAAAAAATGGAATTTAAAAAAAAAGAATAGCTTGAAAAAAATAATTTCCGCTTTACACTCAAGTTAGCAAAGTATAGAAGAGATTGTTTATAGTCTGAGAGAAAAAAACTGAAAAGATGAAATATGCAAATAAGATAAGATATCATATAAAAGATAAGATATCACGAAAATATGATAATCAAATAGATCGAAATGCATACGAACAAATTAAAGGGTTGAGAGGAAAGTAATACTTCAAACAATGAAATTAAAAAAGTAAAAAGAAGCTAAAAAATAATGATACAAGAAATGATTAGCAATAATTTATCACTTATCAGCAAATAAAAATAGATACTTGTAGTATGACGTTTGAAAAACAGATGTTAGATTTAATCTTTTAAACATTGTCAACATGAAAATGATCGATATTCCGTGTAATCAGTTAAGAATGATAAGGAGAAAATTTTGATATGCCCTTGAAAAGTGAAAGAATGACCGTTAAAGAAAAAAAAAAAATCAAACAAAGGTCATTATGTCAATGAAAAATAGAAAAAAAAATAATAATAAATCAATAAAAATGGCAGAAAAATTTGTTTTTTTTTTTTGTATTATCATCAAATATATATGATGAAAAAAAAGAAATTCATTTATAAATATTGAAGAAAAATGTGAGAAAGATTTAAAAGTTTCAAAAATGAAACAAATCATCTTGCATTTAAATGTTGCAAATAAGAAATACAATCAGCGCCATCGATCTATCTCCCAATGGATTAATATTCAAAATGTAAGTTGAAAAAAGAAGATGACACAACAACGATATGATTGATATTTTAGTTTTTATAAGTTTAACTTTTAATGATTAATAATAGATGATTGCTGGAAATGATTTTAAGTTGTATTTAAAAATTCTTTTTTTTTGTTAAAAAAAATGAAAAAATGTAAGATTATATTTCAATTATTACTAAAATATTTAATCAATGAAAGTAGGAATAATTTAGGAAAGAATGAAGAATGTTTTATTTTACTAGAAATGAAATAATATTTGGTTATGGAATTATTGCTTTGTTGAAAAGTTCAATTAAATGAAAAATGCATTCTTTACTCGAGAATTAAATCCTTATCTCTTCTCTTCGAAATCCCTTTATCTTCTCAGATTTTTATCATTCCTATTAAAAAGCTATAAATCCCTTCCTCAACAAATTCGTCATTTGCGCTTTGCGCAGTTAATAGCACTCTCTCTCTCTCTCTCTCCCTCTCAGAGGAAGAATGAAAACTTTTTTAAACTATTTCACATCTAAAACTTACTTTACATGTTCATATATTAATGTAAAATATAAAATGAAGAAAGAATAATTCTACATTATTATAAAATATCATACTGAATAATTATCAAATCATTTCTTAATCACAAAAAAATTTCCGTACTGACCGCAAATAATATGAAAAAGGAAAAATTTCCAGTTCACCGGAAAATATCCTTCAACCGATTACAATTACTGTAAACGAAAGCAATGAACCAAACAAATTCAATTTTTGTTATATATTGTTTGTTTGTTTTTTTTTTTTTTTTTTTAATTTTATTTTCTTCAGATATTTCTTCCAGATTTATGTAAAAATTTGCCTTAACCTAAAAATTTTTAGAAATAAAAGCAAATCAGATATGATCAAGAAAAGAATGCATAAAAATGATTTCATCGTAATACATTCATAATTTTTGAAAATTCCGTAGCATTTCCGATTTTATTACAAAATTAATTTTTGATGAATAATTGTCACCATCTCATACCAATACTGTCATCATACTAAGCAATTTTTTTTTTTTTGAATTTCAATCAAACAGATAAACAATCTAAAAAGCTCTCATTGACAAAAAAAAAAAAAAAAAAAAGAAATTATCGAAAAAATATAAAACAAAAATTTACATTTGATCATAAATTAATTAAGCCAATATTTTATCAAATTAACTTTCCAAATATCACTAACTTTACGAATTCATTTCTTATCAATAAAAATGATCAACAAATATACATCAACAAATGTGTTTATCTTTTACTGCTAGTGTGTTATCAGTCAGCGTAGAATTTATCTGTTCAATGATTTTTTTTTAAAAAAAAAAAAGCTAAAATTTTTATGTTGTAAAGCAATAAAAATAGAAATTTTAGAGAGAAATTACTAAATAATTAAAAAATAAACATCGTTTTATTGAAGCAACAATAGCAGATGACACTTATCATTCAGTGACAATAACAACAGCACATCATCACATCTGATAATTGATAAGTGGCAAAGTTGAGTTGAAAGAAAGGGAATCGATTCAATTCCTACATTATATAAATACATACATATATATATATGTATGTGTGTATGTGTATGTATGTATGTATGTATGTATGTATGTGTGTATGTGTATGTGTGTGTATCCTTGTGTCTGTGTCTTCTGATCACATCCATCTTCGAACACAGCTTACAAAGAGCGGACGGCTCTGATGATATTGGCACACAATGGGACATTTGCAATTTGCTTCAGTGCTTGCAAATGTTTAATTCTATTATTATGTATGTGGGTGTGTGCATGTATGTGTGTGTGTGTGTGTGTGTGTCTGTATGTGTAGTCGTATCCCATTGCTGCTTTGTCCATAAAATGTTCCGGAAAAGTGCGCACAAGGAAGGAATCATTAAATTAGGCAAAGTTGTCCTTTTAGTGTTGGACGACAGCTATATCCTTTCTGGCTCATATCATCGAGCCATGTCTTTTGGCTCAAAGTTGTCATAAGGCTTGCAATATCAATAAATGAAAGTAAATCCTTCCAATAGTGCATCTCTCCTAATACAATTGTGTTGCTTTTAGTGCCCTATAAGCAAATGACACACTATACCGTTACATTTTGAAGCAAAGTAATCCATTTAAGTTAAAGCAAAGAAAGTCTTTTATAGAAATGAAATAAGGCCTAAAATATAGTTTACCAAGAAAGGAGCTAGGCTAATATTATAGTTAGGACTAGTAGAGGTATACAAATATCTTTCTATTCATATTCATTTTGTCCCAGAGGAAAGCTAAAGGTCATAGAATAGTAATGGGCCAATGCAGTAATTGGCCTCTTATCTCTCCCTACTACTATTACTCGGTGGTTGATGAGGCATTATATGCCTTATGCCTTACTAATCAAGTAAACAACCCAACTGGTTAAATAATACTAACAATTTTGTTCAATAACACCGCCCTTTTTTCTTCTCTTGGCTACTATTAAATGCTTTTCTGGAAGTGAAAAGGAGAGCAATACCGGAAGTACTGCATGCGAAACCGGTAGGGAAGATTCTGTTTTCGGAATAAAAGGAAAATTGCTATATTGATTAACAAAAGAAATCGATTACTTAGGTCACATATGGTATGTGAATTTATCATTCATTCAGTACAGATGAACTCATTGCCAATCAATTTGTCAGCAAGAAGGATGAGATAATACATTAAATGTAGGTTATATTTGTTAATCCTGTCCGGTTGTATTTGTTAATCCTATCCGGTTGCACGTAGTAATCGTATCCGGTATCCATTTAATAATTTGCTCTTCATGAAAATAATGAAAAAACTGGAATAAATTTATGTATATAATTGAAATTCTGATTTAATATGTCCATTTTCTGGATATTTCATGTGATTAAAAATTTGAGTTAATGATTTGAAAAATTGAAAATGAAAATAGCTGTTAAGGCTAATATTGATATGAACAAAGACAAGCAATGGAAGAAGAGCATTGTACGAGTTAATTAATTAATAATTAAATAATGTTGGGAGTAAGCCAAACATAGATACTTCATCATTACAAGTGAATTGTTTTTCGATATTGATGAATTGAGAAGGAGTAATAGATGAATGAATAAAAAGAAATTTAAAAAGTCAGATGAAAGTGAGAAACTGGAAAAGTAGGAAAGAAAATGAAAATTTTTTGAAATGATAAGATAGGGAAGCATCGATCATGAAAACAAACAAAAAAAAAAATGATGAAAGTAAAAAGATTTGTTAAAAAACAAACCTGGTAGAGTAGTAATAAAATGAAAGTAAATTTAAGTGAATTGATACAAATTAAAAATGGAAGAGCTTTTATTAGCAATAAAGGAGGAAAAAAAAAGTAGGCGGAATTGAAAAGGTTTTAAGCTAAGCTAACAAAAGTATGCTAAATAAAAGTTGCTTAGATACACATAAGCGCCTCAGTTAGTAATGAAAGAAATGAAAGAAAATATAAAATTTGCATTTACATTGCTTTTATTTAATTATCCATTGACAAATTATCAGTTTAAATTTTTTATATTTCAAAGAAGTATGAATTGTTTAAAGAGTTTGAAGGAGAATAAAATAAAGAAAAATTAAATTATTGCTATGATGAAGCAAATTATGAGATATGAAAAAGTATGAGCAGAAATTAAAAATATCGAAATAATTTTTCAAAAAAAAAAAAAAAAAAAATCGTACAATGAATATAAAATTAATTTTAGCATATAAAATTATTAGAGTAAGCCTAAAATACTTATCGAATTTGCCAATAGTTGGATTAAAGTACGAGAATACAAAATAATAAATTTATTACATTTAATGCTTAATAAAATAAGCTTTGTTAAGAAAATCATGAAATGGTTTAATTTCAATTATTAAAAAAAAGAAAAAAATATATAAACAATATATATATGATTTCGGTTTAAAAAAATTTTTCTCAAAACTTACATCTATAGCACAGATTAATTTTTACATTTCAGAATGGTTAAAATGTTGGGAAAAAATGATCTTTGATGTAAAATAGGAACACTTTCTCTCAAAGAAGAAATGATTAAATAACTGATTAGAATTGATAAAATGATAACGGAGTAAAAAAAAAAAATGCATCTATTAGTATTGTCTATTTGTAACGGATATAATATAACAAAATAGGCCACGTACGTGACTAAAGTTTCTAGTAAAATTAGAAGATCTCTTTGAGAAATTAATATTGTCAAAGATTAACGATACGAAAAGTTAAAATGTAGAATGTTTGGAAAAGCTTCAATTTCGACAATATTATTGCAGAAATTGAAAATAAAAAATTTTATATTTTATTTTTAAATTTTAAGATATAAAATAAGAAGAAACTTATGCAAGGCATAGTATTTCTATTGTATTTACTTCTCACTGTTAAGATTATCAAATTGATTGATCTTATCAACTATATTAAAAGATAATGAATTGAAAACGATGCACAGAAAAAAAAAAAAAACGCAAAATAGCTATAAGATATAGAAAAACTTGTTGATATTAATTAATGATAAAAGCAATTGAGATAATATAATGAAAATGATAATGTATTTGCAGATAAAACCGATATGAATAGATCAAGAAGCACAATTGAATAGTGAATAGATCATGAGCTAGAATTTAATTTAGAATCTAGATTGAAAATATGCCATGAAGTGTGCTGCAGTCACATTTTCCATAATCCTTTTTGTCATCCATTTTAATGAATGTGACAATTAAAGATGACAATGATAGTAATTTTGATAATAAACATAGAATAATAACACTCATTCAAAACAATATAATTCCTTTTGTCATCCATTTTAATGAATACAAATTCGAATACTTTGATATTCTCCCCTACATATGTCAACTTCAACTCATGTGATCATCAAAATTCAAAATTTAAATTGATGAAACGAAAAAGTGTGAAAACAAAAAAAATATGCAAATGAAGAGTAAAGTATCAACACAATATTATAAAAATGTGTAAGCAAAAGAAGAAAAAAAATAAATAAATATTCTAAAAAGCTTTTAAATGAAAAAGTTTTGTTGAAAATGGAATTTCAAAAGATTTTTGCAGATGTCTTTTATGCTCTAACACACATTAATGTCTCTCTTTAGTTATACTGAATGGCAACACCAGACATTTTCAATTTTTAGTTTAAAAAAATGCGAAAAAAAAAACTCAAATTACGCTATAAATACTTTTTAAATGTATCAAAATGCCAATATAAAACTTTGATTTCAAAAAGTGAATAATCAATTCGTCGCTAATTTAAATAACAATATGATAGCAAATTTAAACTATTATTTAAATTTTGCTACATTATAAGAAAGAAGCTCGCAATTAAATGTGTAAACTATACACATTTAATTGCTTTTTAACTTATTGCTAATGCAGTTACTTAAATATTCGTATTGAATTCTCTTCCTTCTTTTTTTTTTTTTCGTCTCAAAATTAAATTCAAATTATTGATCAGTCGAAGAAAAGGGAGATGAGACGAAAACATCTGAAGAAAAGAGACATGTTAAATTTTAAAATTCAATAAAACATCAAACAGATGTGATAGTCTCATCTGTTGGATTACCATTGCTCAAAGTTGCAAACATTAAGTGAGAAAATTGAAATGAAATAAAATGAAATAAAGTATATAAAATAAACAAACTAATGTTAATCTAATGTTTAGACATAATCATTTGTGTTTGCATAAGAATTAAGAGAATAATTTTATGTTATTCTTGTAAGCTAAGTGAAGACATAGGTTATAATTACAATGAAATGTTTACTTTCGCAATAGCAAATGTAATATTTAATGGGAAAATTTAAATTTGAAAATATAAATACAATTATTGGCGAAATAGTTAATGCATAATCAATAAGCCAGAACAATTCATAAATTATAAAGCAAAAACTATCAAAAATTTTCACAATTAATGAATGAATTTAAAATTTGATAAAGTTAATAAATAACTATTTAATTAAGCAATTAACTAATTTATTATTAAAATGTATTTACTACATTTACTATTAAAATGATTTGCTCAAAAATGCTAATGAATAATAAATAGTCCAAGATATTACATTCTATAGAAAAGAATTTCATTTTTTTTTTTTAAATTATATTAAAAAAAGAATAAAAAATTATGTAAACAAATAAATATTGTTATTTAGTTATGATACCATTTAATGTGACATCTGTGAATTAAGTCATTTACAAATATTGTAAAAATATATAAAATGAATTAATCAAATTTACATATCAATGAAAAATCTTTTGTAATTTATTCACGTTAAAAAATAAAAATACAAATAGCTTAATTAATTTTTCTAAATTCATTAAAAAGATGAGAAAAAAAAAATCTGATTTTCTCTAGCAAATGGCATTAACAAAGTATTCTCCCATGGAACTATAATAAATTTAGAAAAAATCAAAATTAATTTAATTCTTTAAAACAAAAAATACTTTTATTTACAAAGAGATATTTTCATGCTATTACTAATCCTTCTTTTTCATTCCATCATTATTTAAGCAGAAAATACACTCTTTCTATCCTTGCAATCTCTTTGAACTTTGAAATTTCACTCCACCATGATACCACTTCTTAGCATCGTTACGAACGATTAATGTCAAAACTATAACTGTTCCAATGAACGATTGGGATGAGCAAATTTTCATACCGCCTCGCGTCATATTGTGGTCGTGACTTGAGCGGAGCACGTGATAAGTTACGTTTGTTTGTTTTCTGGTAGTTATCAGTTGATTTGTGCAAATTTTCTAGTACATTTGTGGGAGGAAGAGAATCATTTTAAGTCGTTGAAGCTCTCAAAACTCAAAAAAGTCAACCAGAAAATCTTATCAAAATCGTAAATGCTTTAAACAATGGTTTTTACAGGGAAATGTTTGATTTCATTTTTGAGGAAAACAGTAAGGTTAAATTGGCTAAAAATGTGAAATGATAAGGGAATTAATCTCCTAATATTTTTGCAATAATTATCACTCTGTTAGTAAGTATTAATATGTGTTAATATACTAGGTGAAAGGTGTATGAAAAATAGGAATGTTATTCTCGCTGGTAAGGCGCAAAATGCCAACAAATACAAAACTTTGGCAAGATCCAGTACTGGGATATTTTGAAACTCATGGAAAAATGAAGTTCATCGCTGGAGAAGATTATGGCATTAGCGATGAAGAAAAAAAGGTTACTTTCAATTGTTAGGACTTCTTTCAAGCTTAGAAAAAAATATAACTTTTTTTTAGCGGTGTGCCTTTAAATTATGAAGTTGGAAATCACAGGTTTTCCTTATTTCTCGCAACTTTATGCCTTTATATTACACTGTATATTTGCAATAAAAACGTTCATTTTTTTACTGTTCATATTTTCCAGTTTTCAAACTTCAAAATTCTGGTTTGTCAGTATTCTTTTTTTGATGTTTTTGTGTTCTTTTTACAATTTTTATAAATTTTAGGCTGTCTTATGGCGATATCGATTAAAAGAAATTTTGAAGAAAGAGTATCTTAGACGAGAATACGACCCACATACCTTCAAGTATAGAGTAATTCGTTTCTGTGATTTAGTTGAAGTTGCTCACACATCTTGTGTCGAGGTATCTCACGTTGATGACGAAAATGGCTGATAAGCTAAGCGTCATAAGTTTTCTTTTTGGAATCAGATTGAATTTGTCGAGAAATTTTTTTTTTTTTATGTTAGTCGAAGCTTCTTCATTTTCCAATTTCTTTTTTCCTAATTCATGCACTACAGGAAGGTGTAATAATTGACCCAGCTGTTTTTCGTTGGTATTCGGCCAATGCGATGCAATACGAATTTTTCCGTTACACTCCACGGTCTGTGTTCCTTTATGCTGGCTCGTTTGTCGTCGTATTCTATATTCTGATCAGAATAATGTTCCAGTTTGAGGTATACTTTGAAAATGCTGAAATATTTTAAGATTTTTGTTATTATATGTAAGATATCTTAGTTAGATTGTATTGATGAAAGATCTGAGGTTATTCAGTTGTAGTTATATAGTGTCTCTATCGAAAAACATTTTAATAAACAGTAAAGGTGTTGAGAAAGGAACAAGGAATAAGTTTTATTTCTCAGTTGATAGATTCTTTGTTAGATGATAACTGCAATTACGTTTTCATTTATCGACAATGAAGAAAAGTTGCTACGGCTCATTTCATATTTCACTTTACTATGTTTTGTTTTTCTAGAATCTGGGAGGCTTATTTTGAGCATAAATTGACGGCTTTAGATGATGAATGAATGAAGTAGCTTGAAAATTTTGAGATTAAGATTAAGATTTAGGTAGTTTCTGTGCGGAAGCAAAACTAGTTTTAAATCTTGAATTTTTTGTTAATAACCATTGAAATTTGGAACTATTTACTATTTTTACATAGCTGACCGGATTCGCTGTATTTAATAGCGAAAAACTATTTTTTTGATTTGGATATAAACACAGCTTTGCAATATGTTGGTAGTCATAGTAGGATGTGTGATGAGAAATGAAGCCAAATAAACTCTAGGAGTAAGTTGCATTGTTTTTGATTGTATGAATAAACAAAACTTTCAAAAGTTTAGGATCGTGGCCGTGACATGTGCCTGGATGGTGAATTGTTATGGTGGGATCGTATGTATAATCGTCATGTGAATACGTGTGGCAACTTTCATTTCAGTCCAACATTTGTGAATTAAGGCCATTCTGATCGAGATTTTTAGATTTTCCAGGCTTATCGTTTATATATTGTATATAAAATAGATAAATGATTTTGTATCCGCATGCGTGTCTGTTCTGACCTTATATCAGTTTAAATCAAGATATGATTAAAATTATGGGTATATCCATAAAATTCGAAGTATGCTGTTTGCATTTGTTTTTGTATACACATAAAATTTTAACATTTTGCGAAATAAAAAAATTTTAATTCTGAGTAGTAGTGAGAAGTGTAAACAAAAAAAAAAAAAAAGCAATGCTTCTTGTTAATGGAAGTTATAAGTACAAAACTGAAATTTAGTCAATGAACAAACTGAAGATTTAATTACTGGGATGAATAGTCTTTGTTTAACTGCCGTTATTTGCATGAACTGCATGGTTTTGGTTGCTATTTTTAATTTTTGAGAAATTATGGGAACAAAGGCTGTACTTAAAACCATTCGTCAACATATCGATGCTAAGGAATTCAACAAAGCAATGGGAATTATAGAGGTACCATTTTCGTCGATTTGAATAAATTTGTCGCATACTTGTCACTGACATTTCTCTATTTTCTTTATTGATTTTCATTAAATTTTAACGGCTTTTAACTCATTATGGATTTTTCAAGTCGGAGACAATTTTCTTTCATTTCTATTTTAATCTTTCCATGTGTGGATTCATCTTTGAAATTTTGTAATTCCATGTTTAAGTTGCTTAATAAACTCCATCTTGTGGTTTCAGGATCTATTAAAACAAGATGTATCTGATTATTTACTTTTCGTCTTCGCAGCAGTTACAAGTGTAGAAATTGGAAATGATTGCGAAGCTGTTAGTTATTACAAAAAAGCAATCAAGCTTGATGCAGAGAAGCCTCTAGCATGGCAAGGACTGTATAAACTTTACGAACAAGGAAAATATGTTGATTTGGAGCACATCCTAATAGTAATTCAAAATCTGATATGTATTCCTGGGTATGTTTACATCTTATTCAAATATTGATTAAACTTTTTCTTCTACTTTTTTCTTTCAAAACTTCGAAATCTTAATTGTGTTCAGAACTTTACATATCGAAAATTACTTAATAGATTTATCTTATTTCACAAAAAGTTTTAGAATTCTCATAATTTTTTTATGGTTTTCAAATTATTTAGCCTATTCTTGTTTAGAATAGCTCCAGAAAAAATTTCTGCATATAAGAGAGAATTGGGTTTTATATTACTGAAATTGAAGAAGTTTGATGAAGCTTTTTCAATTTCCGATCGATTAGACGATGCTGATTTTTGTTACGAAGCACTAAAAATGTTACTATTCACTGATGATTGGGATGGCGATCGAAAAAAATTGGTAAATATTCGAATTCCAAGCAACTTCAGATTTTTTGAATTATGTAAGAAATCCTTTCTTTTTTGTATTCTTGTCTTATTTCTGTTTCAGATAAAACAATTTTTAATCAAAATCGATAGTGGCAAATTGGACAGTAAAATTCATCGGAAATGTGCAATATTACGTTGTTCATGGGCAGAGGTCGACGGTTTCTTCTAGCATTTTGGATATTCAATTTTAGAGTTTTCAAATTTACACTTCTACTGTATATTGTACTATTTTATATCTTTTCCTCCCAATCTAAAATCAATAAAAATTACGTTTAGACACTGGAAGAAATACGAGATGTATTAAACTGGCACGTTAGATACATTTCACTCGATGATGAATGGCTAACTAATTTATTGCGATATTTCGTTATTATCTCTTATTTGGAGCGACGTCAAGTAGATCATTCGAGCGACGTTATCAGTATGTTGAGAAATGCTGTAGAGAAAGAAACAGAATTCGAACTTCTTCTTGAACATGTTGAGAAGACAGAAATGTCATTATCGATCAAAAATATTGATGAAAATTTGAAAAACGATACATGCAAATGGTAGGTTGACTGTATTTTGGGTAGGGTTTTTTCTTGAGTTGGAGAAAAGATAAAAGAAGTGGAGTAATTTATGGTATTATTCTAACTAACTTTTTTTGTATCTGTTCATGTTATTTTAATGATAATTTCAATAATAGGTGACTGTAAATCTTTTTGCAACTGATTTCTTTTTCTTCTGATTTTCAAATCAAATCGAAAGTACATTTTTAGGCCGTATATCGGTTTGGCTGTTCCTCTTTTACTTTTTCAAGAACGCTATGAACAAGTTTTAATTCTTCTCGATGTAGAAATCCCAAATATACATCCTGCAATTACCAAAGCTTTAAGTGAAGAAATTTTCCGTGCTAGATGTGAAGCACTGTATGGTATTCATAATGACAATACGCTCCTGCAATTACATTTATTATTGAATGATAATTCAAGCACTAAGCAAGCGCCCAGAAACATACGACTTGAGGTAATAATTTGAGTTGAATTTTTGAAAGTTTTAACTGTTTGCATAATTTATAATCAGATTTTCAACTTTTATTCAACATGAAAGAAAGATGCCCATTGTTTATGATTCTTTTTTTTTTTTTTTTCGATGGTATGTGAAAATCCTGATATGGACGATGTATCGAAAATAGAAATAATACAAAGAGAGAAATATGATGACCCTTCTGAGGAACTGTACTGGAAGGTTGTAATTTTGAAGAATTCTCAATCAAAAGAGTCCTTACAAGGTGATGATCAAGTCTTTTTTTTTTTAAATTAAGTAAATAAGGATACTGCTTAATAAGTAGACTAATCAGTGCATCACATGTTGCGCATCTTGGTTATTTTTTGACAAGTGTCTAAGATTTCATTTTTCAAATTCTAACTCATCTGTGATGATTATGCTTTCATGTAGTTTTTCATCTCGTCGACCCTGTTGAATCGCTTCCATATTCATAATGAAGTGTTCGGATAGCATTTTCTGGGATTTCTGATATATTTAAGGAATCTCAGTAATTTTTTTCCTCACATCGTTTTTCCTTTCCTTTTTTGCTTTTATCGAAACAGTTTCTAGGATGAATTCAATGTTGATTGTTTCAGAGGCAAGACTTTTAGCTGAAAATGCTGCAAAATCCAACCCGAAATCATGGCAGTGGCATTTAGTGCTTGGCGAAATTTGTTTACTATTAAATACCGAAGATTCGGTTGCTACATCGGCTCTTGTGAAAGTTGGTTTTTTTCACATTAGAATAACAATTATTAAAATATAAGTCTATGAAACGATGGCATTTTTGTCTGAAATGCTTTATAATTCATAAGTAGGCCTGCAAACTTTCTTCTTTTAAATAAGCATGAAATTATTTTTCTGCCATTTAAAGAAAGCTATCCAAAACTTCATTTTCCTGCATGTTTCCCTGCTTAAACTATTACAATCATTGGAATTATGCTTAGACTGCTTTGTTATCTAAATTAAGTTTATTTAAATTATCAGTCACTTCATATTACATCATATTATTTTCGTTTTCAGGCAGCGAAATTGAATCCATACAGTAGCAAAGCTTTTTTTTTATTGGGATCGAGCTTGAAGACTAAAAATCGAACCAAAGCTATAGCTTGTTTGGAAAGAGCAGCGAAAATTCGTCCTCATGACACGAAGGTAGAATTAGTCATATTAGAACTGAAGATCTTTTGTGTAATTTATTTATTCAAACTGAATAAAACCAAGTATTTTTCAATAACATCAATACTGTTTGAAAAATCGTCTGAATCTGATTTTGTTCTTTTATGTCAATTTTTTCATGCTTAATTAACTAGCATTTAATGAGTAACTATTATCTTACTTTGTTACTTTTGAAAGGTTGCGAAGCTAATAGATGAGCTACTCAGTTTGGAAGGTCGCAATGAAGATTTGCTCAAACATTTAGTACGATATTCGAAAATGGTACCTAAAGACCTTTGGGCACGGAAAAGATTGGCATTATTGGAGCTTCAAAATGGAAATGTGAGTTTTTTTCTTTGTTTAAACTACTTTCTGCTATCGAATTCTTGAATTTTGAAATTCCGTAATAAGTCAGGTTTCTTTCATCATGAGTGCTGAAAAAGTCGCATGAATGCTGATTTTCAAATAAAAGATTTAAAGACATTTTTCATGATTTTCGTATTGAATCTTCATAATAATTTGATATTACTAAAAAGAAGTGGTATTATTACGCTGGCTGATCTGTTATTTGAGTTTGAAAGACATTAATGGATCTATTTATTGTATTTGAATAAATTTGCGTTGTACTATTTGCTAATCCCACCAAATTTTCTAGCTTGATGCAGCAATTGATCAAATGCAGCGCATTGTTACACTTGATAAAACAGATGTTGGGATTTGGACTGCGCTAGGAGATGCTTATAAAAAGCGTGGAAACTATCAAAGTGCTATCAAAGCTTTTAAGGAAGCAATAAATCTTGAATCAGACAATAAAACTGCTGAAATTCAGGTTGATCCTTTTTTCGTTTCTATTCTTCATTGTTCATCTGGAATTTAAGTATTTCCAGATATTTTGCTGATATTTCAAAGTCCTTATATGAGTTTGACTTTACTGCTGGCGCTTTTGTTAATTACACCTTTCGTTGCATGATAGTCTTTATTTTTTTCTAGTTTATTCAAATGTGCCAAGTTACTGGCCAATTGGAGGAAGCAATCGAACACTCCTTGAAATTGATAAAATATGTTGAAAGTGGCCAAAGTGATACAAATTGTGTCTATTTATTATATGTTGAATCTATCCTGAAACTAGCTCAAAAATCGGTGTATTCTTTGCAATTTGATCTCTTAAATAGATTTTTTGGCTCTATTGAAAAAGCTTTTGATCGAAATCCAGGATTTGTATTACCCTTTAAATTTGCTGCTGATGCGCTTTTGCTAGCATCTAGATATCATGTTGATACATTTCAACATTTCGAATTTCCTAAAACTTGGAAAATGGAGTCAGTGCTGGATGCAATTGAATTAGCTATTCATTACTATTGCTTGGTGATAAAAGCACATCCGAACTGTGCTAGTGCTTGGGATGATTTGGGTATTGCTTTATTACGGAAATGTCAATTAATGAAAGATAACTCGGGATACGCAAAGTAAGTTTTTTGTTTGTTTGTTTTGATAACATTCATATTTGTTTATCATCTGAAATAATTTCTAATGTTTAGAATAAATAGTTGCAATTAGTATAAAAACATAGGGAAAGAAAATGATGAAAATGATTGCATTGCAATTTCATAAACTAAGCTAAAATTTGTTTTTGTTTTTTCTATCTATCATAAACATAATTGATCTTATTTTGCTGGAAGAAACTGTTTTGTGTTTCTTTTTTTAGGGAAATTTGCTTAATTTTCAACATCAAGCAACTAAAATCACTCATATTTTAAATGAATGCATTGTTCTCATTTTTGCTAATTTTTTAAATTTGAATAATGATTTCGTTCAAATGATCGCTGTAACCAAGAAGCTAGAATTGACAGTTTCAGCTATAGGAATTGTAAGCAGTTGCTAAATGATAATTGTGAAATTTTCCATTTGAATCTTAATCTAGTATATTCAGCCTTGTCGAGTGTTTTAAACGTGCTATCAAACTTTGCTCATCAAAAACAGTAAAGTCGATTTATTGGACAAACCTATCGGAAGCGGTTGGATTATCAGGAAATGCCTTGACGGTACAGCATTGCCTTATACGAGCCTTACAGTTAAATGCAAGGAACGATAATGCTTGGTTTTTACTTGGCTTATTATATTTGAAGTTCAGTCAGGTATCATTCAGAATTTTTTTCATTTTTGATGTGATAAGAATGAAAATCAACTACTAAGCAGAGGCGGACTAGAATTTCTTCAAGGATAGGAGAAAAATTAAAAATTTACAAGAAAAAAGTAACAAACATTCAGTTATACATAACATTCCTTCTTTTTTCTTTTTTTTTTTTTTTTTTTCGTGAAAGATTTTATGCATTAAGTTGTATTTTAAATAGTGTTTGCAGCATAATTTAGCACGACAAGCTCTCAATATGGCTCAGAAAATTAATCCCGAATCAGCCGAAGTTTGGTGTGTTTTGGTAAGAATTTTATAATACTTATTGTGCTTTGGCCAAAAATACTTTATGGTATTTTTCTAAGCTTTGTATCCATTGTTCAGTGGAGAGCAATCGATAATTTGTTCCTAAACATCTTATATTTTTTAGAAGTGATCATATATTTTGGTGATAATCGAGATGCTTGTATGAAATTATAAGCAAATTATAAACAATTTGATATAGCTTTGCTGTATAATTTATTGCAGGCCACAATGGCAGAAGCAGAAAATCATTATGATACGATGGATTTATATAGACATTCATTAACTTTGAGGCCAACTGTAAGTTACCTTGTTATTTTAAGTATTGAAATCTGATGTGAAATATACTTATGAAGTTGGTCCGTATGATTCTCGAGGATTATTTTTATCCCCAATTGTTGTAAAAATTTGTTTTACATTGTCGGTTTTATAAATCCAGATAATTGTATATTTCAGGAACTGGCGGTGAAAAAGTATACATATTATCTGATGAAAATTTTAGCCGAAGGTAAACAGTCTGATGATGCAACAATGTTCGATTTTGAATCTGTCCACGAAATTATTGGTTTGTTTTTAAATAGCGTAAAGTACAAAGTTTTCGGAGTACCTTAACTGTGAACCGTGTTATATCTTTTTTTTTTTGGTTTTTTTCCTTTTTTTCAGATTTTTTTCAATTTTTTTTTTCCAGAATACTTAATAAACTTATATTTCACATATTTCATATTTCATAAATTTATCTTCAGCAATAAGTAAGCGCACTGATGAATTTATTTTCTTTGTAAGCTTACTAGCTGAACATTTTTGGTATATGGATTATGCGATGCATTACATCAATTGTTGCCATGACTGGCCAAACGAAGATATTTGTAAATTGCATAAACAACGAATAATATTACGAAGGCAAGATTTTTAGTCTTGTCAACAACAATCATTTCAATTTGCTTAATCTTATCTTTTTATCTTTTATCATTTTTGTAAAATTTCAGGAGCTTTCATATAATTTCTTAATATTGAAACATATTTATGTCGTAGGAGATAGGCTTTTTTCTGCCCTTCAGAAATAATATTTAAAGAAGCAGTAGTAATTTCTTGCTTGTCTGAAAACATTTTTATTTTCTGAAAGTTAAGAAAAAATTTTTTGGGAGTTCATTCGTTATTTTTATTCTATTAAAGTGGAAATCAACATTTGCTGGAAAAAAAAGATGCGATCCAAAATTTGTCAGTTCTATATTCATCTACTACACTTGAGATATATGGTTTGTTGTCAATTTTTATTAGTAATAACCCAAGTTTTTCAATTAATTTTCCTTAGTAATTGCCAGCTAACAAATCTTATTTCATTTATTATTAAAAATAATTTATTGTATAGTTATAATTTCATTAGATATGTGAATTTAAAAATAATCAATGATTTATCAAGCATTTGAAAATTTAAATAAATGCTAATGTGCAGGATTAAAATAAATGAATATGATACTTGATAAGTAAGTACTTTTAACAAATACTTGATGCAATTAAAATGATTTTGAATAATAGAAATTAGTCTGATTTATGGTCAAAAATCATAAAATGATCAAAATAAGCTTATTTTGATTTTATTTATTGGTATTCGAACTTTACTGTTGCAATTTTGTTTAAGTAGCTGGTACTTAAATAGTTTTTTTTTAATTAATGATTTTTAATTATTTCTTGCTTCCTAAATACAAATTTTTATTTTCCATATGTAGATGACGAAAATAAGAGTGAACGAGAGAGGAAGATGTATGATTTCACTTAAATTAATAAATTAATATGAACAAATAATTTTAGTTGAAAATAATTGTTTGTCACAAAAATTGCAGAGAAATTGTTGAAATGTTCGATTTATGAACAGCTTTTTTCGGCTCTTGAACGAAATGATATTGAGCAGTTTCGTGCGATTTCAATGGATGTTAAAAATAAAATACAAATTCCTCTTTTTATTGCTGCCGTTCTTTGTTTCCAGAAAGTGAGCATTTCAAAAGGATTTTTTTTCTTCTTTCCGTTTGATTGCAAATTCACTAATAGTGTCAACTATTTTACGACAAAGAGTAATGGAATTTGAGATATTTTTCTTTTATCTCTTTTTATAGAATCAGGAGACTAGAAGAGATGAACGAATTCAAAAGTTTTTAAAGTATCATCTATTATTTATCATTCTTTTGTAGAAACTAAATGATGATTTCGTTAATGTTTTACGCGATGTAAGGCCACGTCATCAGATTGTCCTTGTTTACTCTACTGGTAATCAGTGTGATGAAAATGATGAATTTTCTTATAATATAAATGAAGAATTGGGTAACGAAACTATTGTACGGTATGATAATATGTCAAAGGTATAGTATTTACATGCAGTTTAAAAAATTTTGTATATTTCGTTTCTTTAAATTTTTTCATCAAAATTTTTTGAGACACTAAACAAATGATTTTTTGTTTTAGTGAAATGATGATTGCATGAAATGAATGAATGAATGACTTGCAATGCATTTTTTAACCATAAGTAGATGCAATATTAAAAATTTAGTAGTGTCCAGTCAATTTCTAAAAATATATCAATGAAATCAATCAATCAATAATCATCTTTTCACATTTTTACATTTGCAGATTAAATTGAATTTTTATTTTAGCGACTATGCAGCTTACTGGCATTACGCGTTGAGCAGTACCGTGCAGTGGGACACATTTGAACAATTCCTCAAATTGATGGGAAAATGTAAAATCATTATCAAATACCTCAATTTTCCAAATGAATTCTGTTGAAAATTGAACGATTTAAATAATTTTTTTTTTTTTCAAATTACATCAAATAAGAGCAATTTAGATGTGTATTGAGAAAGATCTATCTCTTTCTGTTATTAATAACAGAGAGACTTAGATTTTTTTTTTTTTTGTAAATAAGTGAAATTTTAAAAATGATGGTTATTTTGATTTAACTTGTTTTATGATTGTAATTGTTGTTTTTGACATTATGTTTGTGATGTAAAACTTACTTCTCAAATCCTGAAAATATCTCTAAAAAATGTTTGTAAAAAAGCAACAAAATTTTTGTAGAATAAACAAGCCAAAACCGTTTGAAATAGCAAAAAAAATCATACAAATGAATAAAGTAAAACGGTTTTATGAGCAAAATTTTAAGTTTCAAGTTCATTTGTATATTTAGCAAACTTCACTAGAGAGCAAAAAATTAATACTAGCTTAATATGAATTCGTAGACGTTAGACGCTATCAGATTTCTTAATATTAAATAATACTTTTCGATATTGCAGCTTAGCTAAATTTTTACATCATTGGATTAGCTACTAATTATCTAATCTACGAATATTATCGAATTTGAAAAAAGAAAACATTTTTGTTTTCTCAAGAATGCATTACATAATACTCGGGATTGATTTATTAAAGAACGACCTAATTTTCAAAAGATATCATACTATTCAGTTCTTGACACACCACCATCTTTCTATTGAATTACCTTTACAGGACAGGTGAAATATAGGTCATTGCTCGTTACAGAAATTAGAAGGCATCAGTTGACCTATTACCATACTATAAAAAGAAATTGTTTGAGATCAGTTGTAATTAAAAGCATATCTTTATGAATAGATATAGTGGTAGTAGTAGCATTTTAAAATAATTCATTCTTTCTATTTATAAAATTTTAATTATTTAACTCTATTCATTTGTAGAGGAAAGATTTTTATAAATTTCTATGATTAATTTGTAGCAGTATTTGATAGCTTTCTTAATTAATAATTAATCATTTCTATTCCAATTAATGCTTGAGGTTTAGTTCGTTATTTGAAATTTTGATTACATTTCCTTTTTTTTTTTTTTTTTTTCATTTGTTTGCTGTGAAAGTGAACTATTTGAAAGAGAAGACAACTTAATTAATAATATTAAAATGTTATATTTAAATCTGTTAAGTTTTATTTAGAAAATTCTAAAGTAAGCAATTTTCTTTTTCATTTCTAATAAAACAAACATATACAGTTGTGTGCTTAATTGTTTGTATTCATATTGGATTATAGAATTATAGTATCAACAGAAATTAGACAAATAATTGTCAACAAATATGTATATAAAAGATTTAAAAAAAAAAAAAATGGGATTTTTTTTTATAAAACAAGGGAGCATTCCAATATTTAACTTTTAAAAGGTTTGAATATTTCAAACTGTTTAAGAAAAAACTTTAAACAATTCATACAATTGGCTAGTGGTATTTTTGCGCATGGACAAAATCGATTTTATCGATTTTAATTCTCGAGAATTTTTTTTTTTTTAAGAGAATTTGAGTTAAATTTTCTGTCTCTTAATTATTTACAATTAATGATTAAATAAAAACTAATTAATCTTTGCCAGTTTTTTCTTCCTAATCTTCATCTTTTATATTTTCAGTAAGTATTCAAATAAATAAGCAAACGAATTATTACAGTAATTATACGAATAAGTATGAATATTGTAATTTCAGTAACTTTTGAAATCAATTTAGCTGATAGATAATAATTTTACTTAAATATCTTAATGAATCATTTCTAAATTTTTATCAAATATTTATCAAAATTGATAAATTATTCATATAATTCATAAGCTTATTTACTATTTCATTATATCCTAATTTAATTCATTAAATTAAATCATCAATTAATACAAAATTTAGAAATGAGAGAAATTTTTTCATAAATAAAATGAAATAATTGCTACTCTCATTGGTAATTTCATTAGTTGCATTCATTCACTTTTGCATTTCATATTTAAGTATTATCTTTATTTACAATACTTTTTAGAATATCCGGTAACAAATGAATATTCCGGACCGGAAACGACGTTCTCTGAAACCTGTTGCATTTGCAGCAGTTGCTTTTTCAACCATTTCAGTAATGTGCTGTGTGATTACATTACCTATTATATACAGTCATGTACAAAATGTTCAATCATTTATGCAAAATGAAGTTGATTATTGTAAGGTAACAATGATTTAATTTAGACAAATATTTGATTCAATTTTTTTCTTTTTTTTTTGTTATATATTTTTTAATATTTTCAAATTTTCAAATATTTATAATTATTTGTATATTTTGTAAAATTTTTAAAAGTTTTGAAATGATTAAACAAATTAAAGTTAATCGATGAATAATAATTATCAGTATTGCTTCAAATTTTCTAAACTAAATTAATAATATATTTTTAAAATTGCTCTTTTTTCTTTTCTTTAAATTTTTCAATTGTTCAATTTGTTTGATGTTATATGGTTAACAATTTGACATATTTTATTGCTTGAAAATTTGAAGAAAAAAAAATTTTTTTTTTTGAATTAATTAGAATTACTGTTTTCAGACACGTTCACGTGATATGTGGAAAGAAATGGTACAATTACAAACGGTTACGTCATCTGTAGCTGACACTACAGCATCTCGTAAAAAACGTCATTTTACGAGTAATGATGAGTCAAAGCTGGACATGGCAATACCATCGAATCGAGGAAGTTGCTGTACTTGTCAAGTTGGATCACCTGGAGCACCTGGTTCACCTGGACGTGATGGACGACCTGGGTTAGTTTAATTTGAAAATTATTCAAAAAGTTTCAGTAATTTTTTTCTAACTAAATTATTCTTTCAATGAGGCATTTGATATATTTGCAATAGATTATTGAGTGATCTATTGGCTAAGCTTGTGATTTATTTATGATAATTTATGTTATTAAGATAAGTAGGTTTTTGTGTAACTGAAAATACCTCAAAAAGATTGAGTTAATTTAATGGAGAATTTTTCAGAGCACCAGGACGACCAGGTGATCCAGGCCCACCAGGCCGTGATGGTAGTTTGCTTCCTGGACCACCTGCAAAACCACCATGCCAGAAATGTCCACCTGGACCACCTGGACCGCCTGGACCTCCTGGGCCAAAAGGTTTACCAGGACCACAAGGAGAAGCTGGCACTCCAGGTGACTTTATTGCAATTTCTGGAATTTAATTAGAAGTGATGAAAAAATGGTTTTGAAAATTTACTTCACTGAGTATTCATATCGGCAATATTTAACTGATCTCATGATGTATTATAGGAATTGATGGTGCTCCTGGTTTGCCAGGACCACCAGGACCTCAAGGACCACAAGGACCACCAGGATTGCCAGGTGAAAAGGGACCTCCAGGAGAGCCAGGAAAGATTGTAAATGGTGCGCCACCTGGTCCACCAGGACCACCTGGACCTCCTGGTCCTCAAGGTAAACATCACAGTAAATTCATGTTCCTTCATTTTTGATTTTCAAATCCTAATAGTTGCAAATAAATAAAAACAAATATTTCAGGACCTCCTGGTTCTCCTGGACGAGATGGTAAACCAGGTAAACCAGGTCCTCCAGGACCACAAGGTGACCCAGGAGAGAAAGGTGTGGACGGATTACCAGGATTACGTGGACCACCAGGACCCAGAGGACCACCAGGACAGCCCGGTTCATGTGATCATTGTCCTCCACCAAGAACCGGTCCAGGTTCTCTAGTTAAATAGGAAATTTACAACGGTTCAATTTCGTTTTCCAGTTTTATACGCTTATGCAAATTCAATAAATGCATTTCACAAGAGCACTTTGACTTATTCTCCGACACTCTTTCAGCAATACATCAATTTACAAAATTTCAACCTCAGTTAAGTCACCGATATTTCGATGATTGAATTTGAGAAATTTCCGAAATTTCGTAGATATCAAATTTTATACGTTTAATGCAAATTATACATTTTCAAAATACTCATTTTGGATAGAAAATTATGTCCCTGCTAATACAATTATAGAAGATAAATATCTTTTCTTTTTGTTTCTTCAACAGCAATAAAAGGAAACTAACAATTTAGCAGTTCATTTGAAAAAAAGCTATTAGTGTTTGAATATGAATTGATAAACATTTTCATGTTGTTGTTCACCTGTCAAATATTTATCAAAAATGATTTTAGCTACATTAACATATCAAACAAGCTAATAACATTAAAATTTTACAAATTGGTAGAAATTGATTTCTAAAATTGGAAATGTATCATTTTTCCGAATATGACTATCCTTATTTACAGCTATTTTACATTTTCTAATTAATCAAATGTAAAATATAATTCAATTAATTCAATAAAAAAAAAAAAAACGAATTTAAATTATTTTTGTGTAAACAATTGCTATATTTCTCTTTTTTCTTTGGCAAATTACAATAGAAATTATATGCAGAAATTTGTTAATTTTGAATTACAAAAAAAAAAAAAAAAAAGAAAGGAAGTAGAAGAGAAAAAAAAGAGAGAAAGAGAGAGGGATGGAGAGAAAAAGTTTTTTTTTTTTGAATTAATATGTGAAAAAAAATTTTTTAATTTAAACTTTTTTTTAACAATGATAATTTCATATAAAAATATTGAATGAGCAAAATGAATTATTCGTCATGCAAAATGATATAGTGCAATTGGCAATTGAATTTGTTCATTGGAAGGAAAAAAGCTTTTATCCTTTTAATAAGATTAGATGAATTTAATGAAAGAAAAGAAAAGAAAAGAAAAAGGAAAGAAATGAAATTTGCTCGGCCATTAATTAAGTGAAAAATTTTGTGTTGGATGAATTTTATCATTGATTCATTTACATTTTGTCAACCAATCCAAATTCTTTTCAATAATTTTTTTTTTTTTTTTACTTTTGAAAAATGCAAAAATTTTATTCGAAATTTTATGCAAATTTTTTTTTAATTCTTTAATTTTATTCCATTTTTTTTTTTTTTTTAGTAATTTTAATTTTTTAAGTATTTTTTTATAATATAGTATATTAGTATAAAAATATGGTATTTAATTTTTAACAAATTCAAATAGTCAAATTATTATAGTCTGATTAAGTGAAAAAACAAAAATAATTAATTCGGTTTGCATAGTATTTAAATTATTTTTGTATGAATTTATACAAAAAAAATTTTCATTTAATCACGATTTGATAAATTTGTGAAAATTTTTAAAAAATTTTTTCCTTGTCAGAAAGATTATTTTACAAGTACTTTTATTTATAATTGAAATATTTTCTCAATTTCGTGCTCTTTACATTTTCTTGAAAATAATAATTGAAAAAGTTTAATTTTATTAAAAAAAAAAAGAAAAAAAAATTGACATATTTATTTAAAAGAAAGTATACATTTCTGAAAATTATTAAAATGAAAAAAAAAAAATCGTTTTCATTTCAAAATCATTCCAAAATTTAATAAATTTTTTAAAAGCTAAATTTTTATACACACATTTCATTTCAATGAATGATTTCATTACTTATTAAAAAAAAAAAAAATTTTTCACTTTTGAAATAAACAAAATTTCCTTATTTCTTTCTTTTTTTTTTTCTAATTCCGAAATTAAATAAATCTAATAAATGAGAAAAGTTGTTAGACTGAGTAAAATGACGCTAATATTGAGAGTTCATTCATTTACAAAATAAAAAAAAATTTACGGTTAAAATTTAAGTATAATTTAATAGGAAAAAGTTTTTTTTTCTTTTTTTTTTTTTTTTTTAAAGAAAAAAGTATGTTTCTAAATTTCTTTTTTTAATTTCTTTTTTCCTTTATTTTTCCTCCTTTTTTTTTTTTGATTTTTAAAGAATTTTTAAAGATATTTTAAAGATAAGAAATGACTAATGAATTGATTGTGATGAATAATTACAAATGAATAATTGGAAAAGAAAAAAAAAATTTAAATATAAGAAAAATTCATTGATTTAATAAAAAAATTTCAATTGTTAATTATAGTCGAAGTTAGCTTTATTTAATTTTATAATTAATCAATGCAATATTTTAATGTTAGTAATTTTTATTATAAATATTTCAAAAAATTTTTAAGCTTAACAATTAATATGATTTGTTGTTTACCACTTTTTTCATGATAATTATCATAATTAATACTAATTAAATGATTCACTTTTCAGCATGAATGATTTTCTAGTATTGCTATTACTTTTTCAAACTTTTTAAGTATTTAATTATTACTGAATTGATTAACTTCATTACTTATAACATTCATACATTTTCATTTATCCTTTAGAAATTTTCAGTCAAAGATTATTCTCTTTTTTCAACCTAATTTTCATTTACACAAATAAATTTCACATCTAAAAATTTATTCTTGCAATAAAATATGTATGAATCAGTTAGATTTAAAAAAAAAAAAAAAAAAAAAATTTCTCATATGAATATATTAGTCTCAAATGAAACGTTTTTGTTAGATAATTTTATCAAAATAAGCTTAAATTTATACTTTATTGTATTTATTTCAAAAATTTTCTTCATTACCTCATTATTCAGATCAAAAATTTTTTTAGATCAAAATTTTTTTCACCACCCAATTTTTTTTAAATCAAAAATTTTTTTTCACTACGTCTTTTTTGGATCAAAATTTTTCTCCACTACCTTATTTTTTTAGATCAAAGTTTTAATTTTTGCAATATTACAGATCAAATTCATTCATTTCATATACCTATCAGAATCTATCAGAAAATAATTATTTTCGTTTCTTTCTTTTTTTTTTTTTTTTTTTTTTTTTTTTTTGTTTAAATTGGTATAGCAATGATTGGAAACATTGGAAGCAAAGTCATTTATTTTCTCAAAGCACTTAGCTTCTCTTTTCAGTTTTCAATTTTCAATGTCTTTTCATGTGGCTTCTGGCTCTGTAAATTATGCATTAATGTTATTTAATTTTGAAAAACATGAAATAACTAATCTGTCTTTCTTAACAACTTTCAAATTCTCAACCATTTGCATTTCTATTTTTCTTTTCAAAAACATTTCCATTTCCTCTTTTCTTTTTTTTTTTTTGTTTACATAAAGTTTAATTGCTTATTGTTTACAATCATTAAATTGATCATTTTAAATCCTTTCCTATTGCAATAGCAAAAAATTAATTTAGTTCAATTAATTTAATTCATAATTTTTGAAGACATATATATTTGTTGAAATGAATGAAAACTGTGCTATTAGAAAAATAATTTCAAGCATAATAAACATTTTTAAAAGGATGCAAAAAATTTTTCAACTTCATCTAATTAAACATTTTCAATATGACAGATGATAGTGATGTCTAAAAATTTGTGTTATCATTTTATCGTAGAAATAAATTTAAGAATGATCGATGAAAAAGTAATTATTGAGATGTAATTTTTAAATAAGTAATAATGCAGTTGTTAAATGTATTTTCCTAAATTTTAACAAAAATTATGGTGTGAAAAATTGGAAATTAGAAATGAGAAAATAATTGCTTAGAAAATAGAAAATAAATTTTTGGAATTTTTTTAAAAATATTCACAAGTAATTTTTTTTTTTTGAAAATTTTATTTCTTCAAATGTTTTGAAGATATCACATACACTTTTTTTTTAGTAAATAATTTTTTAAATTAATAATTGGTTAATATTTTGGAATTCAAACAAGTATATTTCATTTTTTAAAAAAAAAAAAAAAAAAGAAAGGATTGAATTATCTTACATCAAATAATTGCACATGCAAATTTTTTTTTTTAGCAAAATAAAAAACAAAAATAATTGTTTAATTATCATTTCATAGCCATTGTAAACTTTTCTGACTGTAAACTAATTGATTTTTTTTTTCTTTTTTTGGCAACTAATTAAATTTTAGAAAGAACCATTTCATGAAATTTGATTAGACCATTTTCATTTTTTACAAAAAAAAAAAGAAATGTTTTTTTTTTTTTTTTTTTTTTTTAAGCCTGATAAATCATGTTGTTAGCCTATGATATTGATGAAGCCTAGAAATAAGGCACAAATTTTTAGAATTTCTGAAAGTCCTAAATTGAATTTGAGAATATAAATATATTGTGTTATTTATTTCTTATATTATATTTATCTCAAGTAAGTACATCAAAACATTGATTTCTTAAGCTTAAAAATATAAAAATTTGATGAAATAATTGATTATTATTGAAGACTGTTTTGAAGATCATTTCTCTCTCTCTCTCTCTCTCTCTCTCTCTTAAACCTATAAGAAATTAATTATAAAATTATTTACGCCATTTGTATTATTGAATTGAAATTTTGAAAATTTTATTTAAACAATAAAACTTTGCTAAATAGAAAAGTAAATAATCTTTATTAGCAATGAAAATGTATGATTAGTCTAACTTTTTATTTAATTTGCTTACTTAAGTAATAATATAATTCTTTGTTTCTTTCAAAAAAAAAAAAAAAAAGAAAAGAAAAAATTATATAACTTTGGTAAATAAATTATGTTTGTCATTTGAATTAAATTAACAAATCTTTTTCAATTTAACATAAAAACTGAAAAAAAAAAAAGTTTTTCAAATTTAACTCATTCATACCTACCTATTAGCTAACTTGCCTTATTCAATATTGTAAATTAAAATAGTTTAAATAAAAATTCAAATGTTGAAATAAATTTCCGAAATTTTGATTAAAGCATCGATTATTGAAACTTTTTTTTTTTTAAGACATTTTTCTAAAAGTGAACATTAGTAAAAAACTAAAGTAAAAATGTAAAAAAAA